CACTATTAATGTTTTAACATGATTTACTCTATACTTCGTCTTCTCATTTTTGCTTGTTTGGTGGCATCTTTTTCACCTTCTTGTGCCGTACCCAATTTATTGTATTGATCATTATATGCCTTAGGCATAACTTTACTGTTTTCTTAGCGTTTCTCATCATTTTTATATTCTTCTAAATTCTGATAATTTCTATATCCTTGCCAAGCTTTGTAACATTATCATTTTTGCTAATAGCCTTTTGAACCCTATCATTCCACCACGAAGTTTCCTTATCTAAAAATATTTTCCCTCCAGATTCTCTTAAAAACATAGTTGCCACTTTCTTAATCCAGATAGCCATCTCATTCTACGTAACATTAATTTCGTCCTCATATTTCTATTTTCCTTTTTTCGTCAATTTATACCTAGGTAAGTCTATTTTTCCCTTTTAAGTTCCACCACCTAGTTCTTGGGCACCCATTAATGTCACTCCTCAGTCCTTCTCTTCTATCTCTTAATACAAACATATAAGCCTATCTTGTACGGTCAAACTCTCTCCTAGGATAGCCTTACAGTCTTTACATAATGCGTTATGTCTTCTTTACTAGAAAAAAGTCTATCTGTATGATTCACTTTTGTAAGTTTTTAAATGTTTATCTTGCTTTCTAAAGTAGGTTCGGTATTGTTCATTTGTAAGCCATAACAAAATCATGAAGACCATCACTCACCTCATTACTTTTCCCAAATCCATATCCTACATGTGCTCTTTTGTAGCATCCACCAATGTTTCAAAAAGCGCTAGGCGGGCACCTAGGAGGTCGGGGGAGGAGGGGGGAGGGGGGGGGTCCAAGCAGCCAAGCGCCTAGGCGGGCGCCCAGAACTTGGGCGGCCCAGTAGAAATTTTTTTTTTTTGGGGTTTTCCTCCCTCTAAAATAGGCTTTAATGGGTTTTAGGTTTCAAATAAACCTAAAACCCACAATGTCGGATCTTTAGTATTAAAAAAATGACCCAAAAATGCCCTCAATGACGGGCATTTCCGCCCCTGGGCAGCCATCTAGGTGGGTTGCCGGCGCCCAGGGATATCCGTTTTTTTTGGGCGCCTAGGCCTGGGCGATACTCTAGGCCCCCAGAACCTCCTGGCGGCTGCCCAGGCGCTGGGCAGGCCGCTTTTGAAACACTAGCATCCACTATCTTTCCCACATGACCATTTGAGTCCCCTCTTAAAAATGTCCTCTCCATTTGGTATTCCTTGGACCAGTCCATTTATGTCCTCCGAGTTTAATTCTATTTTCTAATCCGACATGTGGCGCATATGTACTAATTATGTTCATTATCTCCTCTCTTAACACAAGTTTAATTAATAAGAGCCTATCACCTACTCTTTTAATATATACTAGTTTATCCTTTAAATCTTTGTCTATCGT